GCTGGCGGTGCCCGGGGCTGCGGGGGCGGTGCCCAGAGCGGGGTGGCAGTGCCCGGGGCTGTGCCGGCGGTGCCCGGGGCAGGGCTGGCGGTGCCCGGGGCTGTGCTGGCGGTGCCCGGGGCTGTGCTGGCGGTGCCCAGAGCGGGGTGGCAGTGCCCGGGGCTGTGCCGGCGGTGCCCGGGGCAGGGCTGGCGGTGCCCGGGGCAGGGTGGCGGTGCCCGGAGCAGGGCTGGCGGTGCCCAGAGCGGGGTGGCAGTGCCTGGGGCTGTGCTGGCGGTGCCCGGGGCAGGGCTGGCAGTGCCCGGGGCTGTGCTGGCGGTGCCCGGGGCAGCGCTGGCGGTGCCCGGAGCGGGGTGGCGGCGCAGCCAGCACTGCGTCATGCCGCAGCTCAGCCCGCCGCGCTCGGCCGCCGTTCCCTCCGGGCTGTTGCTTGGCAGCGGAGCAGGAGCGGCCCCGGGGACGCGCGGCGGAGCCCCGCGCTCCGGGCACGGGCGCGGGGTGAGCGATGGGCGATGACTCAGCTCCCGGCGGGATGCGGCGGCGAGGGGCTGCGGCACCGGCCCCTGCCGGGCTGGGGGGACAGAGCCCCCCTGGAGCCCTCTGCCAGACCTGCTGCTGCCCGGACTGCGCCCCCACTCCTGCCCTGCTCTTGGGGGGCTGGCTGTGCCCCCGGGAGGGCTCCTGATAGGTGCTGGGGGCATCTCCCTGGTTCCACAGTAGGGAACCTGCTGTCCCCCCACCGTGGCAGCCCTCGAGCCAGCTCTGTCCTTCCAGCTTTTCACCCTGGATGCCCCCTGGCCTCTCTGGGACCACTGGGTGCTCCCCAGCTGCATCCCCTCCCGGCCAGGGGAGGCCTGGCTACCACCTGGTGCACGTGACACCCCCAAATCTTTCATGTGCATCCACTAAATGCTGCCAGGGCCTGGATGAGTTGAACTGTGGTGAGGGACAGCTGGCTGGGGCAGTGCCAGCAGCCAGCCAGGGGCAAAGGGACACGTGCCAGGGTCTCCCTGGGGCTGGCCTGCACCCCTGGGTGCTGCCCTGGCCTTGCAGCACAGCGAGGCACAGGGGCCCTGTGGGACAGGGACCCCCAGAGTCCCCTCAGGGACTTTGCACCAGGATGCTGCTGGATCTGGGATCCTGACATCGTCCTTGGACCTGTCCCAAAACTTTCCAGCAGGATGCTGTGGGGAGTGGGGCCCTACCCTGGCAGAGCCCCTCCGTGCTGTGCTGTCTCCTGTGCTCATTCAGCACTGGCAGTGCCAGCAGGTGCCAGGGCTGGGGGTCCCCACATGGGGCTGGGGCGTCCTTGCAGGGCTGGGGGGGTCTGTGCAGGGGCTGGAGGCTGCCCAGCCCCACAGGCAGGCGAGCAGGGCTGGGACAAGCACGGTTCTGGAGGGACACCATGGGCTGGGGACAGACCTACACTGGCTCCCATGCATCCCACGGGCACCGAGAGCAGGCAGGGCAGGCAGGCAGCAACGGGCACGGGGCGTGCAGCTGAGCCTGGGTGGGTGGCACAGAGGAGCTGCTTTGGGGACTATGGCTGGGCCACCACGGCAGTGGGGCACCAGAGCCATGGGCACCACAGCCGTGGGCACTACAGCCATGGGGCACCACAGCCATGGGGCACCAGAGCCATGGGCTGCCACGGCCATGGGGCACCACAGCCATGGGGCACCACAGCCATGGGCACTACAGCCATGGGGTGCCACTGCCATGGGGCACCAGAGCCATGGGCACCACAGCCATGGGGTACCACGGCCATGGGCACTAGAGCTATGGGGCACCACAGCCATGGGGCACCAGAGCCATGGGGCACCACGGTCGTGGGCACTACAACCATGGGCACCAGAGCCATGGGGCACCACAGCCATGGGGCACCAGAGCCATGGGCACTACAGCCATGGGCACCAGAGCCATGGGGCACTACAGCCATGGGCACCACAGCCATGGGGCACCACGGTCATGGGGCACCAGAGCCATGGGGCACTACAGCCATGGGCACCACAGCCATGGGGTACCACGGCCATGTCGCACCAGAGCCATGGGCACTACAGCCATGGGCACTAGAGCCATGGGCACCACAGCCATGGGGCACCACAGCCATGAGCAGCAGAGCCATGGGGTACCAGAACCATGGGGCACCATGGGGTGCCACAGCCGAGGGGCACAGTGTGTCCCAGTGCCACGGGATCTCGGTGCTGGGCCCCAGGGATGTTGCAGCCGCATCCCTGGCGCGGCTGCCCCGGCGCAGGGGCGCAGGCAGGAATGTGGCAGCGCTGGCGCCCGGGGTGCGGGGCTGCACGGCTGCAGCTGCCTGCCGGCGCTGTCTGGCTGCCAGCCCCATCCCCTCCCTGGCCTCTCCCTCACCAGCCCCCCACCGGCCTCTCCTCCTTCCCCCGCTCCCCCTCCGTGGCCTCTTCCTGCTTGGCTGCTGCCGCCGGGATCTTCTGGGGCTCAGGTGAAAGCGACCCCGCGCCGTGCCGGGGCCTCGCGCCCCCCTTGCCCGCCGTGTCCCCCCGGTGCCGCGGTGCCCGGCGCGGGGACGGGGCCCGGCACGGGAGCAGGTTCATTTCCCGGGGCCGCGTTCCTGCCGCGCCGCCATGCTGGCACATGCGTGCTGCCAGCGCCGGGGCTGGGCCGCCGCACCAGGGACGGGGCGCTGCCAGCTGCTCCGGGGCACAGCGGGGTCCCCAAAGCTGCCAGCTGCCCGCTCCGGGGGTGCCCAGCTCCTGCTGCTGGCCTCGTCCCCAGGGAGCCTCATGGCTGCCCTGTGAGGTGTCCACAGGGCCCCGGCTGCGTTCCGTGGGGCAGGGTTTGGTGGGTGGCAGCAGTGGCACGTGTCCTGAGCCGGCCGTGGCATGGTGGCACAGGGCAGGAGGGTCACCCGCTGAGGCTCCCGGGCCATGCCTGTGCCGCAGCCCAAGCGTGGCAGGAGCCACTGTCACCCTTCCACGTGTCCTGGTGCTGCTGGCCCGGGGATGCCACAATGGTCCCAGCTGGCCGGGCAGGCGCCCGTCCCCCGGTGGTGACCGTGGTGGAGCGGAGCCGTGCCCAGCCCGGCTGCCCAGGAGCAGAGCTGTGCCCAGTTCAGGCTGCCTGGGAGCAGAACTGTGCCCAGCCTGGGCTGCCCAGGAGCAGAGCTGTGCCCAGTTCAGGCTGCCCGGGAGCAGAGCTGTGCCCAGTTCAGGAGCGGAGCTGTGCCCAGTTCAGGCTGCACAGGGGCAGAACCGTGCCCAGCTTGGGCTGCCCAGGAGCAGAGCTGTGCCCAGTTCAGGCTGCCCGGGAGCTGAGCTGTGCCCAGTTTCAGGCTGCACAGGAGCAGAGCTGTGCCCAGCCTGGGCTGCCCAGGAGCAGAGCTGTGCCCAGCCTGGGCTGCCCAGGAGCAGAGCCGTGCCCAGCCCAGGAGCAGAGCTGTGCCCAGTTCAGGCTGCCCAGGAGCAGAGCTGTGCCCAGTTCAGGCTGCCCAGGAGCAGAGCTGTGCCCAGTTCAGGCTGCCCAGGAGCAGAGCCGTGCCCAGCTCAGGCTGCCCAGTGGCATAACCTCCTCTGTGTCTGCTGGCAGGGGGAAGAGGAGCCCGAGGAGAACCCGAGCAAGGAGGAGAAGCAGGAGCCGGGGACGCCCATGAGGAAAGCCGGGCGGCCCGGGCGGAAGCGCAAGCATGCCCAGGTGAGCCAGCAGGCACCGGGTGGGTGGCAGTGCGTGTCCCCGTGGGGCTGTCCTGCCCTGTGGCCACATTGGTGACAGACCTCAGCTCCTGGTGTGTCACAGGCTGGCCTGGCTGCCCCGTGTGCCAGGGTGCTGAGGCAGAGGGGACCCGAGGGCAGCCAGAGGGGCTGTCCCTCCCTCCTGGCCCTCAGCGAGCCCTCCTGTGCCCGGTGGCACCATCCCGCCCTGTGTGGCTCTGCTCGAGGTCCCTCCTGGCCCTCAGCGAGCCCTCCTGTGCCCGGTGGCACCATCCCGCCCTGTGTGGCTCTGCTCGAGGTCCCTCCTGGCCCTCAGCGAGCCCTCCTGTGCCCAGTGGCACCATCCCGCCCTGTGTGGCTCTGCTCGAGGTCCCTCCTGGCCCTCAGCGAGCCCTCCTGTGCCCGGTGGCACCATCCAGCCCTGTGTGGCTCTGCTCGAGGCCCTGCCGTGCATTCGCTCCCTGCCTGGGGGGCTCTGACCCTGGTCCCCCACCCTGGGGCTGCTGGGCCCGGGGAGCAGAGCCTCTGAGGGCCTCCCCCGCTGCTGCCCACGGGTGATGCCCACCCAGCACCGTGCCCACTGGGGTCAGCTGGCAGTCACGGGGTGCTGGGACAGGGCGCACGGGGCTGAGGACACTCGTGGCTCGTCCCTTCCGGGCCATGGTGTGTCCCAGTGTCACTGGGGAGCCATCTCCTTGCAGGGTGGCCTGGTGGCACCTGGCTGGTGCCACGAAATCGGTGTGAGTGGAGGAGCAGGTTCCTCTGATGCTGCAGGCCCAGAGGGAAGGTGGCCTTGGTCTGCAGGCTCACACAGTGTCCCCAGTCCTCATTCCCGCAGGAGGGGACAGAGGGGTGACAAACAGGCCCAGGGTGATGAGTGGGCCAGGGAAACAAGCAGGGCCTGGGGGACAAACAGGGCTGAGGCACCTCCACCCTTAGAAGGCTGCAAATCCTTTTTGGAAAACTTTCTAGCAGCTGAAAGGGTTCATCCTGTGCTGGGACATTTCAGGTCTGAGCTGCCTGTCCCTGGTCCCTGGTCCCTGGTCCCTGGTCGCCTGGGCTGCCCAGGAGCAGAACTGTGCCCAGTTCAGGCTGCCCAGGAGCAGAGCCGTGCCAGCTCAGGCTGCCCAGTGGCATAACCTCCTCTGTGTCTGCTGGCAGGGGGAAGAGGAGCCCGAGGAGAACCCGAGCAAGGAGGAGAAGCAGGAGCCGGGGACGCCCATGAGGAAAGCCGGGCGGCCCGGGCGGAAGCGCAAGCATGCCCAGGTGAGCCAGCAGGCACCGGGTGGGTGGCAGTGCGTGTCCCCGTGGGGCTGTCCTGCCCTGTGGCCACATTGGTGACAGACCTCAGCTCCTGGTGTGTCACAGGCTGGCCTGGCTGCCCCGTGTGCCAGGGTGCTGAGGCAGAGGGGACCCGAGGGCAGCCAGAGGGGCTGTCCCTCCCTCCTGGCCCTCAGCGAGCCCTCCTGTGCCCGGTGGCACCATCCAGCCCTGTGTGGCTCTGCTCGAGGTCCCTCCTGGCCCTCAGCGAGCCCTCCTGTGCCCAGTGGCACCATCCCGCCCTGTGTGGCTCTGCTCGAGGTCCCTCCTGGCCCTCAGCGAGCCCTCCTGTGCCCGGTGGCACCATCCAGCCCTGTGTGGCTCTGCTCGAGGCCCTGCCGTGCATTCGCTCCCTGCCTGGGGGGCTCTGACCCTGGTCCCCCACCCTGGGGCTGCTGGGCCCGGGGAGCAGAGCCTCTGAGGGCCTCCCCCGCTGCTGCCCACGGGTGATGCCCACCCAGCACCGTGCCCACTGGGGTCAGCTGGCAGTCACGGGGTGCTGGGACAGGGCGCACGGGGCTGAGGACACTCGTGGCTCGTCCCTTCCGGGCCATGGTGTGTCCCAGTGTCACTGGGGAGCCATCTCCTTGCAGGGTGGCCTGGTGGCACCTGGCTGGTGCCACGAAATCGGTGTGAGTGGAGGAGCAGGTTCCTCTGATGCTGCAGGCCCAGAGGGAAGGTGGCCTTGGTCTGCAGGCTCACACAGTGTCCCCAGTCCTCATTCCCGCAGGAGGGGACAGAGGGGTGACAAACAGGCCCAGGGTGATGAGTGGGCCAGGGAAACAAGCAGGGCCTGGGGGACAAACAGGGCTGAGGCACCTCCACCCTTAGAAGGCTGCAAATCCTTTTTGGAAAACTTTCTAGCAGCTGAAAGGGTTCATCCTGTGCTGGGACATTTCAGGTCTGAGCTGCCTGTCCCTGGTCCCTGGTCCCTGGTCCCTGCCATGCCTGTCCCTGTCCCTGGTCCCTGATCCCTGCCCTGCCTGTCCCTGACCCTGGTCCCTGGTCCCTGCCATGCCTGTCCGTGTCTGGTCCCTGCCCTGCCTGTCCCTGACCCTGGTCCCTGGTCCCTGCCATGCCTGTCCCTGTGTCTGGTCCCTGTCCTGCCTGTCCCTGGTCCCTGGTCCGTGTCCCGCCGGTGCCAGGGGCACGGCCCAGCCGGGCAGTGTCACCGGGCCGGGGCAGTGCGGGCTCAGGCCGGCGGTGGCCGCGGGCCGGGAGGAACGTGCGGGGCGGGGGAGGCGCTGCTGGAAGAACAATGCTGGCACGGGAGCAAGCGGAGAGCGCCGCGGGAGCAGCCGGGCCCGGCAGCCAGCACGGCCCGGGAACCGGGAACGATGGAGGAACGGCAGCAGTGCCAGGGCAGCGGGCACATCCTGCCCGGAGCCGCGCTGGGTGCCCGTCCCTGTGCGCTCCGACACAGCCGCGCTGTGCCACGGCTGGTGCCACGGCTGGTGCCACAGCTGGTGCCACAGCTGGTGCCAGAGCTGGTGCCACAGCTGGTGCCACAGCTGGTGCCAGAGCTGGTGCCACAGCTGGTGCCGGTGCCAGTGCTGGTGCCACAGCTGGTGCCACAGCTGGTGCCGGAGCTGGTGCTGGTGCCACAGCTGGTGCCAGTGCTGGTGCTGGTGCCACAGCTGGTGCCAGTGCTGGTGCCAGAGCTGGCCCTTTGGCTGGCATCTCCCAGTGCCAGGAGAGCAGAGCTGGCATGGCCAGCCCCAGGCACTGCCAGGGAAGCCCCTGCGGACGTGAGCTACTGAAAATACCCTCCCTGAGGAGAGCCCGCTGTGCCAGGGGCACCGGGGCAGGCTGGGGGGAGCTGGCACATGCCATGGGCGCCAGGCTGGCCCTGTGGGTGCCAGCTGGGGGTCCCCAGCAGCCGTGCCCAGGTGGGCAGGCAGTGGCCAGAGGGGCCTTGCCCTGTCAGCGGTGTGAGAGGGCACAGGGTGCCAGAGGGAGAGCTGGCAGGGCAGGGGGCTGGCTGGCACGGGTGTCACGGTGTGGGTGAGCTGTGCCAGGCTGTGCCAGGCTGTCCTGTGGTGCGCCGTGCCATGCTGAGCCATGCTGTGCCATGCCGTGGCTCCAGGACCAGCGTCCCCAGTGCCAGCTGCGCCTGGCAGAGGGACACCCCGCAGCAGGGTGGTGCCACAGGTGACAGGGCCACCTTCCCCGGGCCGGGGTGGGCACAGGAGTCCCCAAGTGCCACCCCCCGCCATCCCCCTCGGGAATGTCCCCAGTGTCACCCCGTGTCCTGGGCAGGGCATGGGGCATGCAGAGCAGCCTCCCTGGTGGGGAATCCCCCTCGGGAGTGTCCCCAGTGTCACCCCGTGTCCCGGGCAGGGCAGGGGGCATGCAGAGCAGCCTCCCTGGTGGGGAATCCTCAGGAATGTCCCCAGTGTCACCCCGTGTCCCGGGGCAGGGCACGGCCGTGCAGAGCAGCCTCCCTGGTGGGGAATCCCCCTCGGGAGTGTCCCGAGCCCGCGGCCCCGCGCCTGCCCTGGAGCACATGCCGGCCTTCCCGTTTCCTCCCGGGAAGCCCCACGGCCCCTGCGATTGTTCTCGGCACGGATGCGGCCCCAGCAGAGGCGGGAGCGGGGCCAGGGGCCGGGACCCCGTCAGCTGCACCGGGGAGCGGCACCGGGGCTCGTCAGGGACGGGGGGGTGGTGTCCGGGTCCGGGACTGTCCTGGTCTGGGACTGTCCTGGTCTGGGACTTGTCCTGGTTTAGGACCTGTCCTGGACTGGGACCTGTCCTGGTCTGGGACTGTCCTGGTCTGGGACCTGTCCTGGTTTAGGACCTGTCCTGGACTGGGACCTGTCCTGGTCTGGGACTGTCCTGGTCTGGGACTGTCCTGGTCTGGGACTGTCCTGGTCTGGGACTGTCCTGGTCTGGGACTGTCCTGGTCTGGGACTGTCCTGGTCTGGGACTGTCCTGGTCTGGGACTGTCCTGGTCTGGGACTGTCCTGGTCTGGGACTGTCCTGGTCTGGGACTGTCCTGGTCTGGGACCTGTCCTGGTTTAGGACCTGTCCTGGACTGGGACCTGTCCTGGTCTGGGACTGTCCTGGTCTGGGACCTGTCCTGGTTTAGGACCTGTCCTGGACTGGGACCTGTCCTGGTCTGGGACTGTCCTGGTCTGGGACCTGTCCTGGTTTAGGACCTGTCCTGGACTGGGACCTGTCCTGGTCTGGGACTGTCCTGGTCTGGGACCTGTCCTGGTTTAGGACCTGTCCTGGACTGGGACCTGTCCTGGTCTGGGACTGTCCTGGTCTGGGACCTGTCCTGGTTTAGGACCTGTCCTGGACTGGGACCTGTCCTGGTCTGGGACTGTCCTGGTCTGGGACCTGTCCTGGTTTAGGACCTGTCCTGGACTGGGACCTGTCCTGGTCTGGGACTGTCCTGGTCTGGGACCTGTCCTGGTTTAGGACCTGTCCTGGACTGGGACCTGTCCTGGTCTGGGACTGTCCTGGTCTGGGACCTGTCCTGGTTTAGGACCTGTCCTGGACTGGGACCTGTCCTGGTCTGGGACTGTCCTGGTCTGGGACCTGTCCTGGTTTAGGACCTGTCCTGGACTGGGACCTGTCCTGGTCTGGGACTGTCCTGGTCTGGGACCTGTCCTGGTTTAGGACCTGTCCTGGACTGGGACCTGTCCTGGTCTGGGACTGTCCTGGTCTGGGACCTGTCCTGGTTTAGGACCTGTCCTGGACTGGGACCTGTCCTGGTCTGGGACTGTCCTGGTCTGGGACCTGTCCTGGTTTAGGACCTGTCCTGGACTGGGACCTGTCCTGGTCTGGGACTGTCCTGGTCTGGGACCTGTCCTGGTTTAGGACCTGTCCTGGACTGGGACCTGTCCTGGTCTGGGACTGTCCTGGTCTGGGACCTGTCCTGGTTTAGGACCTGTCCTGGACTGGGACCTGTCCTGGTCTGGGACTGTCCTGGTCTGGGACCTGTCCTGGTTTAGGACCTGTCCTGGACTGGGACCTGTCCTGGTCTGGGACTGTCCTGGTCTGGGACCTGTCCTGGTTTAGGACCTGTCCTGGACTGGGACCTGTCCTGGTCTGGGACTGTCCTGGTCTGGGACCTGTCCTGGTTTAGGACCTGTCCTGGACTGGGACCTGTCCTGGTCTGGGATTTAGGACCTTTCCTGGATTGGGACCCGTCCTGGTCTGGGACCTGTCCTGGATTGGGACCTGTCTTGGTTTAGGACCCATCCTGGTCTTGGACCCGTCCTGGTGTGGCACCTGTCCTGGTGTGGCACCCGTCCTGGCCTGGGACCCATCCTGGATTGGCACCCGTCCTGGTGTGGCACCCGTCCTGGTGTGGCACCTGTCCTGGATTGGGACCCGTCCTGGTCTGGGACCTGTCCTGGTCTGGGACCCGTCCTGGTCCGGGACTGTCCTGGTCTGGGACTGTTCCTGGTCTGGCACCTGTCCTGGATTGGGACCTGTCTTGGTTTAGGACCCATCCTGGTCTTGGACCCGTCCTGGTGTGGCACCTGTCCTGGTGTGGCACCCGTCCTGGCCTGGGACCCATCCTGGATTGGCACCCGTCCTGGTGTGGCACCCGTCCTGCTTGCCGTGGCACTGGCAGGGTCTTTGCTCCCTGGTGTCCATCCTGCCGTGGTTCCAGCTCCCTGCGCTGCTCCTGGGCCACGCTGCGGTGTCCCTGCTGTCCCCTGTGCCGTGGTGGCTGTCTGCCCTGCCCGGGCACACCAAGGCCTGCCCTCGCTCATGGCCTGGCACAGCGTCCCCATGGCACCGCTGTCTGCCGGGGGCACCGTGCCCTCCCCGGGGTCTGAGCCCGCTGCAGCCAGGAGGGGAAGAGCTCCAGCGGTGCTGCTGGACCCCCGGACCCCTGCAGCCCTGATCCCTCCCCGCCAGCGGTGCAGGCAGCGCTGCTGGGGCTGCAGGGAGCAGGCCAGGGCTGGCAGTGCCATGGGGGACAGGCCAGGGGTGGCGGTGCCCTGGGGGGGACAGGCCAGGGGTGGCCGTGCCATGGTGGGGACAGACCAGAGGTGGCAGTGCCATGGTGGGGACAGACCAGGGGTGGCAGTGCCATGGGGGACAGGCCAGGGGTGGCAGTGCCATGGGGGACAGGCCAGGGGTGGCAGTGCCATGGGGGACAGGCCAGGGGTGGCAGTGCCATGGGGGACAGGCCAGGGGTGGCAGTGCCATGGGGGACAGGCCAGGGGTGGCAGTGCCATGGGGGAACAGGCCAGGGGGGACAGGCCAGGCAGTCCTGTGCCTTGTGGCACCAGTCAGGGACTTCAGGGAGGAAGCACTGCCTGTCACCTGCCATCCCCCTGGAGCTCGTGCCTCGGTGCCAGCAGCCCCTGGCAGTGGCAGCAGCGTGAGCACACGCCAAGGCCCCCAGCTGTACCGTGTCCCCTGCCAGGCCCTGTCACCAAACCAGCCATCGTGGCACCTGCAGCTCACTGGGGACAGGCAGGAAGGGTCCACTGCCTGCAGTGCCACCCTGGCATCTCGCTGTGCCACCCTGGCATCTCACTGTGTCACCCTGCCATCATGCCCTGGCTCCACACCGTGCCACCCTGGCACGCTCCTGTGCTGCAGGAGGACACCAGGGCCACCAGGAGGGAGTGGCAGCAGCTCCAGGCTCTGTCTGGGGGTGCTCAGTGCCAGTGCTGGGCTGGGCTGAGCCAGGCTGGGCTGGGCTGTGCCTGTCACACACACACACTCCTGTCATGTACACACCTGTCACACACCTGTCACACCCCTGTCACACACACCCCTGCACATGTGTGTGTCATGAGGCCACCACAGGGCTAGCTCTGAGTGTCCCTAACACACTCCCCTGTCCCACGTGCCCGTGGTGATGGGCCACACCAAGGGCCCCCCTTGCTGTCCCCTTGCTGTCCCCTTGCTGTCCCTCACGCCAGTGTGGTGGCACAGGTGTGCCAGGCAGGATGGGCAGTGCCAGTGTCCCCTGTGCCCGCAGGGGACTGGACACCTGGGGCACATCCCAGCATGGTCTGGTCTGGATGGCACCATGGCCATGCCCCTGTCCCCAGAGTGTTGTGGCACCTGGCTCTGAAAGTGTCATGGCCCAGTGTCGTTCTCCTGTGGTGCCATGTCCCTGTGTCCTGCTCCTGGGGGTGTCATCCCAGTCCAGAAGGTGCCATGTCCCTGTGTCCTGCTCCTGGAGGTGTCACGGTGTGGTATCCCAGTCCAGAAGGTGCCATGTCCCTGTGTCCTGCTCCTGGGGGTGCCATGGCAGCATGTCCAGGTCCCTGTGGTGCCGTGTCCCTGTGTCCTGCTCCTGGGGGTGTCACGGTGTGGTATCCCAGTCCAGAAGGTGCCATGTCCTCGTGTCCTGCTCCTGAGCATTCCGTGGCTCCATGTCCTGATCCTCATGGTGTGTCACCTTTTGTTATGGTCCTAAGGACGTCACAGCATTTTGTCATTGTCCCAAAGGCATCTTGTCTCTCTGTCCACGTCCTGGGGGTGCGGTGACATTGTGTGGTGGTCTGAGGGCGTTGCTGCAGTGTCCTGGCCCTGAGCAGGCCATGGGAATGTGTCCTGTTCCATCAGGGTGTCACACACCCCTTCAGGGACCCCCAGCCCTTCAAGGACCCCCAGCCCCCCAGGGACCCCCAGCCCTTTAGGGACCCCCAGCTCCCAGGGACCCTCAGCCCCCCAAGGACCCCCAGCCCTACCATCCTGCTCCACGAGGGCTCTGGGCTGGGCAATGCTGCCACAGGAGGAGGAGGAGGAGGAGGAGGAGGAGGAAGGGCTGAGCCCCTCCATGCCATGCAGGATTTGGGGTGGGGGGGCTGTGCTCATCCCATCCCCCTTTCCTGACAGCAGGAACAGGGATTGGGCTCCTTGTGCTCGGTGCCCCGTGGTGCCAGCACACCCCTGTCCACCTGTGAGACCTCCCTGGCACCCGTGCCCCCAGGGCAGCCGTGCCCGTGCCCAGGAGGCGCTGGGAAGCGGGCAGGGCAGAGGGGCCAGCGCCATGCTGAGGGGGCAGCCCCTGCCCAGCTGGGGCACAGCTCAGCACAGGGGGTCCTGGGGGTCCCAGGGCATTTCTGGGCCATGTCAGGTGTGCCCAAGTAGTGCAGCCACCCCGTGGTGCTGGGACCAGCGCTGGGTCCCCAGGACACAGGGACAGGGACAGACTGGGGACAGCCCCGAGCAGACAGTGCCATGGGGGAACAGGCCAGGGGGGACAGGCCAGGCAGTCCTGTGCCTTGTGGCACCAGTCAGGGACTTCAGGGAGGAAGCACTGCCTGTCACCTGCCATCCCCCTGGAGCTCGTGCCTCGGTGCCAGCAGCCCCTGGCAGTGGCAGCAGCGTGAGCACACGCCAAGGCCCCCAGCTGTACCGTGTCCCCTGCCAGGCCCTGTCACCAAACCAGCCATCGTGGCACCTGCAGCTCACTGGGGACAGGCAGGAAGGGTCCACTGCCTGCAGTGCCACCCTGGCATCTCGCTGTGCCACCCTGGCATCTCACTGTGTCACCCTGCCATCATGCCCTGGCTCCACACCGTGCCACCCTGGCTCCACACTGTGCCACCCTGGCATCTCACTGTGCCACCCTGCCATCATGCCCTGGCTCCACACCATGCCACCCTGGCATCACGCTGTGCCACCCTGGCGTCTCGCTGTGTCACCCTGCCATCATGCCCTGGCTCCACACCGTGCCACCCTGGCACGCTCCTGTGCTGCAGGAGGACACCAGGGCCACCAGGAGGGAGTGGCAGCAGCTCCAGGCTCTGTCTGGGGGTGCTCAGTGCCAGTGCTGGGCTGGGCTGAGCCAGGCTGGGCTGGGCTGTGCCTGTCACACACACACACCTGTCATGTACACCCCTGTCACACACACCCCTGTCACACCCCTGTCACACACACCCCTGCACATGTGTGTGTCATGAGGCCACCACAGGGCTAGCTCTGAGTGTCCCTAACACACTCCCCTGTCCCACGTGCCCGTGGTGATGGGCCACACCAAGGGCCCCCCTTGCTGTCCCCTTGCTGTCCCCTTGCTGTCCCTCACGCCAGTGTGGTGGCACAGGTGTGCCAGGCAGGATGGGCAGTGCCCACACCTGTGTGTTTGGTGCTGAGTGCTGTGGTGCAGTGTCCTGGTCCATCAGGGTGACACAGCAGCGTGTCCTGGTGCTCAGGGTGGCACAGCACGTGTCCTGGTGCTCAGGGTGACACAGCACCGTGTCCTGGTGCTCAGGGTGACACAGCAGTGTGTCCTGGTGCTCAGGGTGTCACACACACCTGTGTGTCCTGGTGCTCAGGGTGTCACACACACCTGTGTGTCCTGGTGCTCAGGGTGACACAGCACGTGTCCTGGTCCATCAGGGTGTCACACACACCTGTGTGTTTGGTGCTGAGTGCCATGGTGGAGCATCCTGGTGCTCAGGGTGACACAGCAGCGTGTCCTGCCCATGAGGGTGTCACACCCACGTCTCCTGGCCCTGGGGCTGCCGTGACACCGTGTCCTGTCCCCGAGTGTCCCCTGGGCAGGTCACACCTGGCACGCACGAGGTGGGACTGGCACCTTCCAGCGCGGTGTGCTGCCGTGCCCCCCGGCAGCACCACCGCAGCTCTTCCCCTCCTCCCGGCAGGCGGAAAGCAGCGACACCCCCAAAGACACCGCGGCCGTCCCCAAGTGTCCCCCGCCCTGCCCGGAGGCCAGTCCCGCCGAGCCGCTGCCCAACGGGGACGTGGAGGGGGACGCGGAGGAGGCCGGGGCCAGCCCCAAGGGCGGCCGGCCCGAGGAGGACGAGACGGAGAGCCTGGCGGACGGAGAGACGGGCCGGGCGCTGGAGAACGGCCGCTGCACCCCCAAGGAGGGGCTGGACGCGCCGGCCGATGAGGGTGAGCTGGCCCCTTCCGACCCCCAGAAGAAACGCGGGAGGAGGAAACTCCTGGAGGCCACAGAGAAAAGTAAGAGCTCAGCCTTGGGGGCTCCCTCTCGCTACAGGGCCCGGCCCCAGAGACCCCCGGGGAACCCTGGCCCCCAGGGACCCCCAGACCCCCAGGGACCCCCGGCCCCCAGGGACCCCCAGCCATTCAAGGACCCCCAGCCCCCAGGGACCCCCAGCCCTTCAAGGACAGCAGCAGAGCGGATTAAGGTCTCTTGTCCCCCTCATTGGTCTCAAGGATTTTTTAATTTAATTTTTTTTTGCTTCAGGACACACACTGGAAGGTTTGCATCTCTCTCACGTGAAGATTTCCTCTGTTTATCACATTGGTATTGTGATGCTGCTGGACCTGAAGAAATGTGTGTGTAATTACTCACAGGCAGCACTGTGAACTCACTGAGCTCTGGCAGGCTGCAACAGACTGCTTGTGGGGCCTGTTGAACTGGTGATTTGGGTGGCTTTCAGCTGGAAACTCCAATCCCCTTGCAGCCAAGCAGGGATGGTGACACGGTGCTGTGCATCCAGACCCATCCAGGCTGCTATCTGCCCACCACAAGCTTCACAGAATTCACGGAATGACTGGGTTAGAAGAGACCTTCAAGATCATCAAGTCCAACCCAGCCCCAACACCTCACTTACAGGAAGCTACAGGAGCAACAGTCCCCCAGTAACCTTTCCACAATTCCCCAGGAAGCAGCACCATGAGAGAGCACCTCATTGCCACGACAGCCACAGGACACAGCCTCAGACATCATCTGCAAGCCCAACTCTCATTTGGGAGTTTTCAGAACAACTTGGACAAGGCTCTTTCCCTGCAGACGCATCCAGGTCAGGATCACAGTGGGGTGGTGGCACAGCTGGGACATGGTTTCCCAGTCCTGGGACAATGTGCTGCTGTCTCACTCAACACTCCTCAAACACCTCACATTCCACAGTGTGATTTACCATGAGTCAGGTGGGACAGTTTCCTTCCAGAAGCACCTCTATGTCCACCTTCATTTATCTTCCCTGTAAGGACCTGACACCTCAGCTCAACACAAGTTTGAGCTAATTAAAAATCAAAAATAAAATTGTTTCTCGGCTAAGCAACAGGCAAATTCAACTTGCTCTTGGACTTTCTAAGTGTTTCAGCATAAGTAAGCAGCACTGTATTGGTGTCCATCAGCATCTTCATCTAATGAATGCATAAATGCAGAGTTCCTTATGAAGGGAATTAGGCCAGGTGCTGAACTCCATCCTGACCAAAGGCAGGCCCTCATGCAGTATATTAACTTTCCTTCCAGCCTCACAGTAGCCTCTAATTTCACCTTAATTTTTCTCACAAGCACCACTGTTAGTGGACTTTTGCTTTAAGGGTTGTCTCTAAAAATGTAAGCCTTCAGGAAAGGAACAGAAACTCATCCACCTCCCTGGGGAAAAAAATAATAACTGAAAAAAGATCAAATAAAACATATTAAAACTGACTTGTTTTCCTGAGTGGAGGAAACAAAGAAATCACTGATAAGATCTAAAGTTCATGGAGCCCTGCGCTCCCGGGGACAGGACCAGAGGCCATGGCCCAGGCTGGAGCCCAGAGGGTCCCTCTGGAGCTCGGGACAGCCTTCTCAGCATTCCCAGCTCCGGCACTTGGGCCTTCCTGACTGGAATCATCACAGACTGACCGGCCAGCCATGGCGAGCCTGTGCCGAGCCAGGGAGAGTCCGGAGGGACACGGAGCTGGGAAGGAGCTGGAAGAGGCAGAGATAGAGATGGAAGAGGCTGGAATGGCTGGGGCAGGCAGGGATGGAGCTGGCAGAAGCAGGCATGGCTGAGGCAGGCAGGGATGGCTGGAGCAGGCAGGGATGGAGCTGGGGCAGGCAGGGATGTCTGGAGCAGGCAGGCATGGCTGGGGCAGGCAGGGATGGAGCTAGAAGAGGCAGGGATGGCTGCAGCAGGCAGGGATAACTGGGGCAGGCAGGGATGGCTGGGGCAGGCAGGGATGGAGCTGGAAGAGGCAGGGATGGAGCTGGAAGAGGCAGGGATGGAGCTGGCAGAAGCAGGCATGGCTGAGGCAGGCAGGGATAGATTTGGAAGAGGCAGGGATGGAGCTGGAAGAGGTTGGGATGGAGTTGGAAGAGGCAGGCATGGCTGGGGCAGGCAGGGATGGAGCTGGAAGAGGCAGGGATGGAGCTGGAAGAGGTTGGGATGGAGTTGGAAGAGGCAGGCATGGCTGGGGCAGGCAGGGATGGAGCTGGAAGAGGCAGGGATGGAGCTGGCAGAGGCAGGGATGGAGCTGGAAGAGGCAGGGAGGGCCAGGGCAGGCAGGGATGGCTGGAAGAGGCAGGGATGGAGCTGGCAGAGGCAGGGACGGGGCTAGCAGAGGCAGGCATGGCTGGGGCAGGCAGGGATGGCTGGGGCAGGCAGGGATGGAGCTGGCAGAGGCAGGCAGGCATGGCTGGACCAGGCAGGGATGCAGCTGGCAGAGGCAGGCATGGCTGGGGCAGGCAGGGATCAGGGATGGCTGGGGCAGGCAGGGATGCAGCTGGCAGAGGCAGGGACGGCGCTGGCAGAGGCAGGGATGGCGGGATGGATGCATGGATGAGCCGCACGCTGCAGATGCTGCCGCAGTCACGAGGCGCAGCCGCGGGAGCGCCGCAGCCGCGCTCGGGGGGAGCGGGGGGGCCCGAGGGCGGCCGGACCCGGCTGCGGTGCGGGGACGGCCGGGTGCGGTGTCCCGGCGCTGCCAGGGCCCGGGGGCAGCGGTGCCAGCGAGCTCCATCCCTCCCTCAATCCCTCCCTCCCTCCCTCCCTCCCGCACGGAGCCATTTCCACGCTCCGGGCCGGGGTCACCGGCACCTTCCAGCGCCGGGCTCGGACCCTGCCGGGGCTCGTGGATCCCGTGCCTGGGACGAGCCACGGGAAATCCCCGCTGCAGTCAGTGCCCCCCGGTGTGGCCAGTCCCGGTGACAGAGGGGACCGGCATCTCAGAACAGGCCCCTCTCCCGTGCCTCAGTTTCCCCCCTGAGACCCCTGTGGATGAGGATGGGATGCCTGGGCACACCTGGAGTGCACAGACACTCTGCTCCCCCGTGTCCCAGTGTGTCCCCTACCGTCCCAGTGTCCTGCAATGCCCCCCCTTGTTCCCCCCTGTCCCCTGCTGTCCCCCAGCGCTCAGAGCACAGCTCTGGGCTGCTCTCCTCCTCCGGCCTTGCTGCTTTGGGGGGCTCCAGCTGCCACGGGAGGGCTGGATCCCCCCGTGCCAGCTGCAGGGTGCCATGCCGGTGTCACACTGGTCAGCCCAGGCTCTGTGCCAGCGTGGCCATCAGTGCCCAGCAGCCAGGGCCGAGTGCCAAGGGGTGCCAGCAGTGGGTGAGTGGGTGGGAGCCCCCCGCCCAGCCAGCAGCGCCCCGCTGCCGCGGCCGCCCCCGCTCCCCCGGCGGTTCTCACCCCCCGAAACCCTCGGGGTTATTTTTAGCCGCTTTCCTGGCAGCGCCTCGGCAGACCTGCGGATGTGCCGAGAGCACAGGAAGCAGCGGGGCTGCGCCGCTTCCCCTGCCCGCCGGGGGGGTCCCTGCCCCGGACCCCCAAACCCCACCGGGGCAGAGCCGCGGCCCCGCGGCGGCGCCCACCCGGCAGCGCCCCGCCACCGGGCCCGGCGCTGGGGGCTCGGCACGGGCTACCGGGCCCCGCGTCCCCGGGGAGCCTTGGCTGGGCCCCGCGTCCCGGGGGAGCCTTGGCTGGGCCCCGTGTCCCCCCGGAGTCCCGGGTGGGCCCCGTTTCCCCTCGGAGTCCCGGGTGGGCCCCGTCGCCCCGCGGGGTCCCACGGCCCCACGCTGACGCCGCTAGGAGATGGGCACAGCCCACCCCCGGAGATGGGCACAGCCCACCCCAGGACATGGGCACAGCCCCAGAGCCCACCAGGCAGTATGGTGCTCCTTGTGCCCATGGGTACCATCTCCCCCTCTCCCTTGGCACCGGTGGCTATGGGGGAGCAGCAGGGCCCACATCCCCACAGGATGGGGGGTCCTGGGGGGTCCTGGGCTCCCATGCCACACAGCCAGACACTGGGCAGCACTTGCTGCTGTGCTGGGGACTGGTGGCACTGGGATGTGCCAGGTCAGTGACCCCCTCCAACCCTGCTGAGCCCTCTCCTCAGTTCCCTCAGTTCTCTGGGCACAGTGTGTTGGGTCTGCTTTGGGGCAGATCCGTGCCTGGATGGCACTGGTGGTGCCCACCAAGTGCAGCTGTGATGCCATGGCATCCGCATCATTGAATCCCAGACTGGTTTGGGCTGGAGGGCACCTCGGAGTTCATCCACGGAGGGACACCTTCCACTGGACCGAGCTGCTCTGAGCCATGTCCAGTGTGCCCTGGAGCACTGCCAGGGCTCCAGGGACAGCCACAGCATCTCTGGGCACCCTGTGCCAGGGCATCACCACCCCACAGGGAAGACCTGCCCAGCATCACATCTCTGCACACCAGCTCCTGGCACACACGTGGGCCAGGCCACGTTCATGTGCCCACGTGTGCCCAGGCAGGCCGTGCCCCCCTTGCCCGTCTCCCCACGCACAAGGTGTCCCCCGGGCAGCTCTGCTGTGTCCCCTGTGCCATCCCCAAGCCGTGGCTGGCCCTGGCAGTGCCCTCACCCCGCTGTCTCCGGCAGGGCTCGCGCGGGCGGCTCCGCGGCGGGCTGGGCTGGGAGTCGAGCCTGCGGCAGCGGCCGATGCAGCGGCACACCTTCCAGGCCGGGGACCCCTACTACATCAGCAAGAGGAAGCGCGACGAGTGGCTGGCACGCTGGAAGCGGGAGGTGAGGGCTGGCACCAGGGGGTGGCACCGCGCGGCCACTGAGCCCCGAGGGTCCCACGCGTCGGTGGCACGGAGCCCGGGCTGGGGCTGGCCGGGCACACTGGGGATGGCCACTGCACACAGGGCTTGGGTGGGCACAGGGGAGATGGTGGCACAGAGCCCGGGCACACAGGGGATGGTGGCACAGAGCATGGGCTGGGGCTGGCCGGGCACAGAGGATGGTGGCACAGAGCATGGGCTGGGGCTGGCCGGGCACACAGGGGATGGTGGCACAGAGCCCGGGCACACAGGGGATGGTGGCACAGAGCATGGGCCAGGACTGGCCGAGCACACAGAGGATGGTGGCACAGAGCCCGGGCACACAGGGGATGGTGGCACAGAGCATGGGCCAGGACTGGCCGGGCACACAGGGGATGGTGGCACAGAGCATGGGCATACAGAGGATGGTGGCACAGGGCATGGGCCGGGGCTGGTTGGGCACACAGAGGATGGTGGCACAGAGCATGGGCCAGGACTGGCCGAGCACACAGAGGATGGTGGCACAGAGCCCGGGCACACAGAGGATGGTGGGCGCACACAGGGGGCTCGGGTGGGCACACAGGGCTGGTGGAAAGGGTGCTCCGTGCTGCCGGTGGTGTCGCTGCCCCACTGGCACCCAAGTGTGGCCCCCAGCTCCGTTCCTCACCCCTGTGCCCCCGGGGCTGCCCTCTCTCGGGGTCGGTGTGGGCAGCCGTGGGCAGCAGCCCGTTCTCCCGCGGGATGTGCCGCCCGTTCCTGCCGGTTTCCCCGGGAACCGGCCTGTGACACAGCCGGGCTCGTGGCAGGAGCCTGGCAGCCACAGTGCCAGCGGCCACTCGTGGGCGGCAGGGACAGGGGCTCTGCGGGCGCCCCGGGGTCCCCGTCACACCCCTCAGCCCATTGTCCCCACTGCCAGCGGGTCTCGCTGGCAGTGTGTCCCCTTGTGCCACCTCCTTGGCGCTATTTGTAGCCCTGCTGCCAAGCACCCTCCTGCTGGCACCCACAGGGACAGTGGCACAGCCAGGGCGTGCCACTGGGCATGGCTGCCATGGCCAGGCCGTGCCGTGGGGCACAGGGCATGGCTGACACGGCCACAGTGTCCCCACAGGACACAGGGCACAGGGCATGGCTGACACAGGACACAGGGCAGGGCTGACACGGCCACGGTGTCCCCACAGGACACAGGACACATGGCATGGCTGACACAGCCACAGTGTCCCCACAGGACACAGGGCACAGCTGGTACATTCAGTGTCCCCACAGGACACAGGGCATGGCTGACATGGCCACGGTGTCCCCATGGGACACAAGGCACAGGGCATGGCTGACACGGCCACAGTGTCCCCACAGGACACAGGGCACAGGGCATGGCTGACACAGGACACAGGGCAGGGCTGACACGGCCACGGTGTCCCCACAGGACACAGGACACATGGCATGGCTGACACAGCCACAGTGTCCCCACAGGACACAGGGCACAGCTGGTATGTCCAGATGGGACACAGGACACAGGCATGGCTGACACGGCCACGGTGTCCCCATGGGACACAGCTGTTACATTCACAGTGCCCCACAGGGCACAGGAGGGGTCCTGGGCACAGCCCCCTGTCCTGCCCCATGTCCCCAGACCGGAGCCCTTGGGCACTGGCAGGTTCCTCTGCGTGGGGCTCCCCAAACCGTGCAGGTCCCCAAACCACGAGGGCCTCCAGAGCTGTCACTGGTCACTCCTGGGCTGTGATTTCAGGGAGCAGAGCTGGCTGGTGGCCCAGTGACCATTCACAGCTGCTGTGCCACCCACTGCCCGTGTCCCACTTTGGGGACAGTCCCCACCATCTGTCTCTGCTGGGGTCACCAGCCCCGCTACTGTGAGCACGGGGACAACCCAGCCCCCTCCAGCCTGGCCTCCTCTTCCTCACCCCTCAGCCTCTGAGGGGTGCAGCTGGCATGGGGACAGGGACACCCAGGGTCAGTGCAGTGACACAGACACCTGGGGCCAGAGCTGTGACAAGGACAGCCAGGATCAGTGCAGTGACACGGACACCTGGGGACAGGGACACCCGGGGTCAGTGCAGTGACACAGACACGGGGACAGGGACACCTGGGGCCAGTGCAGGGACAGGGACACCTGGGGACAGGGACACCCAGGGCAGGCGCTGTCCCTCTCGTGTCCACGCTGGGACCCCTTAGGCTGGGACCCCCACCCGTGGCAGCTGTGGAGTTGGGGACAGGCAGGGGTTGGGATGAAGATGAAGGGGATGGGGCAAGGGATGAAGGAGGGAACGGGATGGGGATGGGGCAGGAACAGGGGTGAGGATGGAATGGAATGGAATGGAATGGAATGGAATGGAATGGAATGGAATGGAATGGAATGGAGAGGGGATGAGGGTGAGAGAAAGATGGGGATGGGGGTGGAATGGGGATGGGATGGGGATGGCAGTGCAGGTGGAATGAAGATGAAGATGAAGATGGAGGGTGGGGGTGAGGCAGGGACAGGGATGGGGGATGGAGCTGAGGATGAGGATGAGGATGAGAATGACGAGGAGGGTGGGGGTGAGGCGGGGACAGGGGTGGGGGATGGAGCTGAGGATGAGGATGAGGATGAAGATGAGGGTGGGGGTGAGGCAGGGACAGGGATGGGGGATGGAGCTGAGGCTCGGGGTGGGGGAGGGCAGGGCTGCCAGAGCTGCCGGTGGCCCCGGGGCAGAGATCGCTGGTGACAATTGTCCAGGGGGATACCCAGCCGATGTCCCTTAACGACCGGCGATGGGACATTTCCTGTCCCCCCGGGACACTGCTGTCACGAGGTCCTGCTGTGACCCTGCCCCAGGACACTCCGGGTGTCACCCACCCCGTGTCCTGTGGCCCAGGCCACTCGTGTCCCCCGACATGCCAGGTCCCCAGAGCCCGGGCTGGTCTGGAGCAGGCGGGGTGTCCCTGCTGTCACCCCGCTGTCACCGGGGAGCACCCCGAGGGTGGCACTGCGGCACCGCCGTGCTCAGGGTCCCTTGGGGTCCCCCCAGGTCCCAGGATGAGGGGGTGGCCCGGGGACCCCCGAGCAGGGGGTGGCGGGGCAGGGGTCCCGCTGCCCCCCGAGGTGACACCAGCCCCCGTTTGCACACAGAGGGGTCCCGGAGGGACACCGGGGACACCGGGGACACCGGGGCTGGCAGGGCACGTGGGGGCAGGGCCTTACTGCGTGCAGGGACCCCGAGCGTACCGGGACGAACCGGGCCGAACCGGGACAGCGGGCCGGGGCCAGCCCCGCCAGTGACCGTACTGGGCTGAACTGGGCAGAGTGAGCACAGACCAGTGACCGTACTGGGCTGGCCCGGGCAGTGTCGCCGCAGCCCGGTGTCCATCCCGGCCGGCCCGGGCAGTGTCACCGCAGCCCGGTGTCCCTCCCGGCCGGTGCCACTGCCCGGTGTCCCCTCCCAGTCCCCAACTGGTGGCACTGGGACACGGGTGCGGGGGCGGGGGCGGCTCCCGCCGTGCGGGGCGAGGCCCCCGGGGCGCCCCCGCCCCGTCCCGGCGCTCCGCACAAAGGCCGGGGGGCCGCGGCCCCGGGACAAAAGGCGGCGGGAGCGGCCCCGCGGCGTGAGGCACAGCCCGGACCGGAGCACGGCCGCGGGCCCGTGAGTACCGGGAGGGACGGGCCGGCACCGGGGCACCGGCGGGACAGCGGGGCCGGGGCGAGGAGCGGGACTGGGGCCGGAGCGGGAGGACGCGGGGCAGCGGGACCGGGCCGGAGCGCTCGGGGCCGCTCGGCTCCGTTAGGTTCCGTGCCGGGAGTCCGCTCGGCTTCCTTCGGTTCCGCTCGGAACCGCTCGGTTCTACTCGGATCCGTCCCGGAGGTCGCTCGGCTGTCTTCGCTCTTCTCGGCTCCGCTCGGTTCTTCTCGAACCTTTCGGTCCTGCTCGCTCTCCTCGCGTCCGGCCCGGCCGCCGTTCGGGTCTCTTCGGCTGCTCTCGGTCACTCCGATTCTGCTCGGGTTCTTTCGGTTCCGTTCGGTTCCACTCGGGCCCTTTCGGTTCCACTTCGGTTCCGGTCCGACCCGTGCCCCCCCACCGCCCCCCACCGCAGCCAACCAGCCGGGCCGGGAGGCACCACGTGACCCGGAGCCCAGACAAAGGGCCGCCGGGCTGACCCGCACCGGCCCGGCCGGCTCCGCGCGTTCCGGCTCCGCGCGTTCCGCCCCGGCCCGGGCCCGGCCGCTCCCCGCGGGTACGGTACCGGCACCGGCACCACCGCGGGCCGGAGCGCCCTGCCGCGCGGGGAGATCCCGCCGGGGACGGGGAGGCTCGGGGGGGGGACCTGGAGAGGGTGACATGGACTGGGATGAGCTGCGAGGGTGCCGGGATATGCACAGAGGGGTACCGGGATGGGCCCGGGAGGTACCGGGATAAGCACGGAGGTGGTACCGGGATGAGCACAGCCGGTACCGGGATGAGCACAGAGGGTCCCGGGATGAGTGCCGAGGTCCTGGCGTGGGCCCCGGGGTAAGTCCCGGGGGTCAGCGGGGGAAGCCGAGTCTCGGGAGCTGCCCCGTGCCGTGCCGTGCCACGCCGCGCCCCGTGCTCGCAGGCCGAGAAGAAGGCCAAGGTGATCGCCGTGATGAACGTGGTGGAGGAGCCGGCGCGGGCCGAGGCGCAGAAGGAGGAGGAGGCCAGCCCGCCGCCCGGGCCGCAGCAGCCCACCGACCCCGCCTCGCCCAGCGTGGCCACCACGCCCGAGCCCGCCGTGGCCGAGGCGGGCGACAAGAACGCCTCCAAGTCGGCCGACGACGAGCCCGAGTACGAGGTGAGGGCCGCGGCGCGGCCGCGCTCGGCCCCGGGGCCCGGCCCGGCGCGCCCGCGCTCAGCCCCGCCGTGCCCTGCCCGCAGGACGGCCGCGGCTTCGGCATCGGCGAGCTGGTGTGGGGCAAGCTGCGCGGCTTCTCCTGGTGGCCCGGCCGCATCGTGTCCTGGTGGATGACCGGCCGCAGCCGCGCCGCCGAGGGCACCCGCTGGGTCATGTGGTTCGGCGACGGAAAGTTCTCGGTGGTGAGTGGCGGGCGGGCCGCGGGGCGCGGCGGGGCACGGCGGGGGGGGGGGGGGGGGGCCCCCCCCCGGGGCACGGCGGGCGGGCGTGTGCCCACGGCCGCCTCTGTCCTGTCCCCAGGTGTGCGTGGAGAAGCTGCTGCCGCTGAGCTCCTTCGCCAGCGCCTTCCACCAGGCCACCTACAACAAGCAGCCCATGTACCGCAAGGCCATCTACGAGGTGCTGCAGGTGAGGGGACACTGCCGAGCCGCGGGGACACTGCCGAGCCGCGGGGACACTGCTGAGACCCCGTGGGGACACTGCCGAGCCGCGGGGACACTGCCCGGGCGGGGGGGACACTGCTGAGCCATGGAGTGACACTGCCGAGGCTGGGGGGGACACTGCCCAGGCGGGGGGGACACTGCCGAGGCATGGAGTGACACTGCTGAGCCATGGAGTGACACTGCCCGGGCGGGGGGGGACACTGCTGAGCCCCTGGAGGGACACTGCTGAGCCCCGGGTGGGGACACTGCCGAGCCGCGGGGACACTGCCGAGCCGTGGAGTGACACTGCCGAGGCAGGGGGGGACACTGCTGAGACCCCGTGGGGACACTGCTGAGCCGTGGAGTGACACTGCCCAGGCCGGGAGGGACACTGCTGAGGCGGGTGGGGACACTGCTGAGCCCCTGGAGGGACACTGCTGAGCCACAGGGTCACTGCCAAGGCAGGGGGACACTGCCGAGCCATGGAGTGACACTGCTGAGCCCCGGGTGGGGACACTGCTGAGCCCCCCGTGGGGACACTGCCGAGACATGGGCAGGGGACACTGCTGAGCCAGGGGGACACCACCAAGGCAGCAGGGACACTGCTGAGCCCCGGGGGAGGGACACTGCCAAGACAGCAGGGACTTTCCTGGGCCGGGGGTGGGGACATCCCAGGGCACTGGCTCCATCTGTGGAAGCAGCAGCTGCCTCTCCACCCTGCCCCACCTGGAGGTCTCTGAAAAGGCGTGGGGGTGTGGGAGACCCCCTAAGGACGTTTGTGCTCTTTAAGGACCCCCCAAGGACATTTGTGCTCTCTAAGGAGACCTTGGGGATCAGCTGTCCCAGACTGGGGGGGATCCTGCCTTTGGGGGTCTCCTGTGGAGGTTCCTGGCCGTGGTGGTCCCCCCGAGGCCGGGCCCTGCCTGGCTGGGCAGTGTGAGGACAGCCAGGGGGCCGAGGATGGCGAGGTGACCCCTGCACCCCACAGGTGGCCAGCAGCCGGGCCGGCAAGATCTTCCCTGCGTGCCCTGAGAACGACGAGACAGACACGTCCAAGGTGGTGGAGATCCAGAACAAGCAGATGATCGAGTGGGCCCTGGGCGGCTTCCAGCCCTCGGGCCCCAAGGGGCTGGAGCCCCCCGAAGGTGAGCGGGCTCAGGGACAGGGGACTCTCACCCAGGACCATCAGCTCGGGTGTCACCAGGGTGCCACGGGCCTGGGCAGGGAGGTCCCGGGGGGCTGGGACCCTGCTGGGGGGACCCTGGCGATGTGACCCAAAGCGGGGACACCACTGATGCCACCACTGGTGACCCCCGGTCCCACAGAGGAGAGGAACCCCTACAAAGAAGTTTACACGGAGATGTGGGTGGAGCCCGAAGCAGCCGCCTACGCGCCGCCCCCGCCCGCCAAAAAACCCCGGAAAAGCACAACCCAGGAGAAGCCCAAGGTCAAGGAGATCATCGACGAGCGCACCCGAGGTACCGGGGCTGCCCCGAGCCCAGCACTGCTCCCCTGGGGCTGCTCTGGCCCTGCTCCCTGCGGCGTGGGGCACAAGAGCTGCTCCAGGCCGGGCCCCCTCTCCCCCGGGGTCCTCCCTCCCGGGGGTCCCTCCCTTCACCCCCCCCGGCTGCCCTGGCTGGGGCAGCCCCCTGACCCCCTGTTCCCCCAGAGCGGCTGGTGTACGAGGTGCGGCAGAAGTGCAGGAACATCGAGGGTGAGTGCGGGGCTGGGCACGGCTGGGGGGTCTGTCCTGGGCACCTCAGGGCACGGGGGGCACTCAGGGCTGTGGGGCAGCTCAGGGGAAGAAGGCCAGCCTTGTCCCACCCCTCAGCAGCCGTGACGTGGCAGTGGCCCACCCTGCATGGTGGCAGGGACCCCCAGGGCACTGCCGTGGGTGTTGGGGTTTGGGGTGGGGCTGGAGTCCTGCCTGCTGCTCCCAGGCTGGTCCCCAGCTCTGCTGTGACCCCAGCATGGGCTGAGTGTGTCCTGGGGACTGCAGGACAGGGCTTGGGGTGTCCCCACCACACTGGTGTGGGGGGCCAGGGAGATGGGTCAGGGTATCCCCATGCTGGGGTTGGGATGTCCCTATGCCAGGGTGGGGTGCCAGGGCAATGGCTCGGGGTGTCCCCACACTGATGTGGGGTGCCAGGGTGATGGGTCAGGGTATCCCCATGCTGGCATGGGGTGACAGGGTGATGGCTCGGGGTGTCCCCACGCTGGTGTGGGGTGCCAGGACCATGTCTCCCCTTCTCCCCCAGACATCTGCATCTCCTGTGGGAGCCTCAACGTGACCCTGGAGCACCCTCTGTTCATCGGGGGGATGTGCCAAAACTGCAAGGTACGGTGTGGGGCACGGCCTGGGGGGCTCACAGGGTCTGCCCTACCCTGAGGTGGGGTCCCCAGTGTCCCCAGGCCCGCAGTGACACCCTGGCTGTCCCCAGAACTGCTTCCTGGAGTGTGCATACCAGTACGATGACGATGGCTACCAGTCCTACTGCACCATCTGCTGTGGTGGCCGAGAGGTCCTCATGTGTGGCAACAACAACTGCTGCAGGTGCCACGGGGCTGGGGGCCAGGGGCTGGGGGTGCCACGGGGCTGGGCTGGAACCAGGACTGGGCTGCAACTGGGCCCCTCTCCTGTCTGGAGTGAGGCTGGGCAAGTTTGGTGTTGCCACATTGCTGCCACGTGCTTTTGGTGATGCCAGTCCTGGTGTGGGACTGGGCAGTTTTGGTGATGTCCCAGTCTCGGTAAGGGACTGGGAAGGTTTGGTGATGCTGCAGTCTTGGCATAGGAGTTCAGCCAGTCCTGGTTTGGGGCTGGGATGTTTTGGCAGTGCTGTGGTCTGTGGCACAGGAGCAGGCAGGTGTGGTGGTGCCAGGGAGGTTCTGGTGGTGGCACTGTCCCCGTGTCACGCTTTGATGTCCCAGTCTGGGTAGGGTGTGGTGATGCCACAATCCCACCATGCTCAGTGGTGCCAGTCCTGTGGGAGGTTCTGGTGATGCCAAGTCCTGGTGTGGGAATTCGGTGATGTCATTAAGGAAATGTCCCAGTGTGAGCATTCCTGAGCCTCCTGGGCTGTCACACTGCCAGTGCCAGAGCCTGTCACTGCTGTGGCCAGAGCCTGGTGGCTGCAGTGGCCCGATGGCCCAGCTGGGCTCCCCAGGGCCCCACGCCCAGTCAGACCCTGTTCCCCCACTGGCTCCAGCCCAGCTGGCCAGTGGCAGTCTCAGATGTCTTGTTCAGTAAATCCATTTATTCATGGCACAGAAATACAAACACAGCCTGAGCTGGTGCCTCTGAGCAGGGATCCCCACTAAAGAACCCCCTGGATCTGTCCTCTCAGTGTCCCCCTCTGCAAGTCTCACTGTTCCTCCAGAGTCCTCAGCTCCTGTGCATCCACCTGGCTGGCAGGAGCTCTCTTTATCTCCTTTGTTATGTTATCTGAACTCCTGCTGGCTCTCTGTCCATTCACCTGGGTCACCCTTCCTTGTCCTCTTTGTTATTCCAAAGCTCAGCAGTTCAAGCTGGGGCTCCACCCAGAGCTCAACCTCTGCAGCTCAATCTGCATTTCAAATCCACTGCTTGGGCCGGATTTATTCACCTCAGCACGGTCTGGGATGTCTTGTGATGCCTCAGTCCTCATGTGGAGCTAGAGAGGGTTTGGTAGTGCCACAGACCTGGCATGGAAATGGGGTGCTGCCAGTCCTGCTGTGGGGCTTGGCAATGTTTTGGTGATGCCACAGTCCCAGCGTGGGAGGTTCTGGTGATGTTTCATTGATTCTGAATTCAGTGGTGCCAGTCCTGCTTTGGGGCTGGGAGCATTTGTGATGTCCCAGTGCAAGACTTTCCTGGTGCCACATTCCTGCCATTCCTGGGCTGTTGATGATGCCAGTCCTGCTTTGGGGCTGGGATGTTTCAATGATGCCACAGTGCCTGACTGTGGGGTTGGGAGGTTTGGTAAAGTTCTGGTCCAGCTGTGGCTCTGTGGGAGTTTTGGCAATGCCTGCCAAACAGCTGGGAAGTCCAGGTGATGGCACAGTCCTGGCATGGGGACTGTGTGATGCCAGCTGTGGTTTGACTGGGAGGCTTTGGTGGTGCCTTGGTCCTGGTTTGTGGGGCTGGGGGAAGTTTGGGTCATGCCCCAGACTGGCATGGTCCCGCCATGGAGTTCTGGGTGATGCCAATCCAGGTGTGGGGCTTTGGAGGTTTTGGCAGTGACGAGATCCTGCAGGGCTGGGGGAGGATCTGGCAAGGCTCCAGTACTGCTGTGGAGCTCAGCAGTTCCACTGATGGCCCAGGTCTGGGGTGGGACTGAGGCTCTTGGTGCTGCCACGGGGTTTGGGGTGATGCCATTTCTGGTTTGGGGAGGTTCTGGTGCTGCCACAGTCCTGCCATGGGGTTTGGGGTGATGCCAGGTCTGCTGTGGGACTGAGGCTCTTGGTGCTGCCACGGGGTTTGGGGTGATGCCATTTCTGGTTTGGGGAGGTTCTGGTGATGCCACAGTCCTGCCATGGGGTTTGGGGTGATGCCAGGTCTGCTGTGGGGCTGGGGAGGTTCTGGTGCTGCCACAGTCCTGCTGTGGGGTTTGGGGTGATGCCAGGTCTGGTTTGGGGAGGTTCTGGTGATGCCACAGTCCTGTCGTGGGGTTTTGGGTGGTGCCCGTTCTGGTTTGGGGAGGTTCTGGTGCTGCCACAGTCCCTCTGCAGGGCTGGGCCGAGCTTTGGCAATGCCCAGTGCCAGCACAGAGCTGGCAAACACCAGTGGTCTCAGAGCAGGGGTGGGCGTGGGCAGGACCCCAGCGGGGATGGCCCAGTCGTGCCGTGGCGCTGCCGGCATTCCGGCGGTGCCACCGCCCTGGCACAAGCCCCGCTGCTGACCCTGGCTGTCCCCTGTGCCAGGTGCTTCTGCGTGGAGTGCGTGGACCTGCTGGTGGGCCCGGGGGCGGCGCAGGCGGCCATCAAGGAGGACCCCTGGAACTGCTACATGTGCGGCCACAAGGGCGTCTACGGGCTGCTGCGGCGGCGGGAGGACTGGCCCTCGCGCCTGCAGATGTTCTTCGCCAACAACCACGACCAGGAGTTTGTGAGTGCCCCTCCCTGCTGGCCCCCAGGCACCCCTCCCTGAGCCCCCAGCCCCTCCCTGCTCACCCCCAGGCATCCCTCACTGACCCCCCAGCCCCTCCCTGCTCACCCCCAGGCA